GTTTGCGAACAGGGAGGACAACGGCATCGAGCCAGTCCTCAGGGACTGACGACGACTCCCAGATCCGATTATACAGACTCAGTAAATACCGAGACGTGCTCGGAGGGAGATGGCGAAGCATCTCATAATGAATACCATCGGAGCCCGCCACCGTAGAACCGCAGAGGGCCAGGGCAGAACGAAGTTCAGAGAGAGAGAAGGGATCATTATAGGGAAGCTGAAGATGAGTGCAGAAATCTAAAGGACGAGACTCAAGGACAGGTTTACGAAGAAGGAAAGATTGGGGAAGATGAAGACCAGAGCTAACAGAAGAAAAGTGGGAACCCAGTTCGGAAGCGACCTGCAACGGGTCCGCCACAAGAGTATCATGGAGGTGAAGGACCGGTGAAACATCGGGAACGAACTTACCCGCTATCTTGCGGATACGCTTCCAGATCTGGGCCAGAGGGGTCTCGGACGTAATTGTTGAGACATAAGATGCCCAACATTCACGTTTAGCCGTACGGATGGCCCTATGGGCCACCGCACTCGCTTTCCGAAAGAAAAGAAAAGAATCGGTCGTCTGCCTACGGCGGTGTCTCTTCCAGGCTGCACGCTTACAGCGGACAGCCCGAGCACAGTCCGCATTCCACCAGGGAACGCACTTCCGTGGACCCCGAGAGGAAGAGCGAGGAATAGAGCGGAGGGCAGCGTTGAAGACAGTGTCATGAAAAAGGAGGAGAGCGCGAGAGAGAGGCAGAAGGGAGAGGTCAGGGAGCAGCACGGAGGGTAAAGAGGGTCCAGTCTGCCTTAGCAAACTGCCACCTAGGGAAAGAGAGGGAAGGGCGAAAAGAGAAAAAGGAAACAAGGATGGGGAAATGATCACTTCCATGGAGGTCATCAAGAACCTGCCACGTGAAATCTAAGTAAAGAGAAGAAGAGCAGAGAGAAAGATCAAGACAAGAAAGGGTGCGAGTCCGAGAGTCCAAATGAGTGGGCTCACCAGAATTCAGAAGAGACAGGGAAGAAGAGAGGAGAAACGGCTCAAGGAGGCGACCCCGGGTATTCGTCAGAACGTCACCCCAAAGAGAATGACGACAATTGAAGTCACCCAGCAGGAGCACAGGCTCCGGCAAGGAGTCAAGGTGTTGTTTCAAATCAGGAAGAGAGAGCGGGACACTCGGGGGGAGATAAATGGAACAAACTGTGTAGCATTTCCCCACAAAGATAAGAGCAGCAGAACAATGGAGAGGCGAAGGAAAAAGTAAAGAACAAAGGGAACATCAGCACGAATCAAGAGAGCAGAAGAATTAGAAGCCCCAGCAATGGCTGGGGGGGGGGGGAGAGAAAGGACTAGCCACGAAAACGACCAGGACGAGCACCAAGCATTGGCTCCTGGAGACAGACACAAAGGGGCGAAAACCGCGAAATCAGAAGCTGGAGTTCGAGGAAATTGGCGTAATAACCTCGAACGTTCCATTGAAGAATGGACAACGACGAGAAGAGAAAGGACAAAAACAGAGAACAAGGAAGAAACAAAGGCGAAAGAGCAACAGAGCACGTTAAAGAATATCAGGGTCGGGATCAGGGTCAGCAAAGTCAGGGTTAGGGGGCATGGGTAGACTGAGCAAAGACGGAGGGAAGGAAACAGGAGAACAGAGCAGAGGTGGGCGGGCAGGGTCTGGAGGAGGAGGAGGAGGAGGAAGAGGAGGAGACAACGGAGAGGAGCCGTCAAGGACAGCAGCAGGAGGAGGGGGAGTAGAAAGAGGGGAGCGCACCCCAGCAAGAGCAGCAACCGAAAGGGAAGCAGGGGCCAAAGAAACCTCCATAGCAGGAACAGGGGGCGCAAGCACTGAAACGGGAGGGGAAGGAGCAACAGAGCCAGAAGGAGGAGCTGAGGAAGAAAGCGAAGCCTTCTTACCCGCCGGGGAAGAGGAAGGAGAGGAGCCAGGCTTACGCTTCTGACTTAAAGAGACCGGTGTCCCAGCAACTACGTACCGGGCAACGGATTCCAGTGTCTCAACAGGAGAAGCCGAACGAGAGCACACACGACGGCCGTTAGGAGAGCGACGGACATCCGCCCGCACCGACAGGCGGTGGGGAGAGCCAATAGATGAAGGAAGAGGATGGGAAGGAGGATCGGAGGGGGACGAGGAAGAAGACACAGAAGACACGACAGACCGGGTAGAAGGAAGGGGAACCCCAGACAGAGGACCAGGAGGAGGATCCTTCTGGAGAGAACCCAAAGGAACAGAGGAGGGGGCAGTGGGCACATCAGGGTCCAAGGCCCGGAAACGGTTGTGAGTCTGAGGAAGGCGGGAAGGACGAGGAGAGGAAGAGCGCAACACGCGAGCATAAGAGAGATTAGCATAAGGCGGGAGCCGGCGAACCTGGCGCCTCGCCTCAGGAAAAGATAAACGCTCCCGGTGCTTCAAGTTGAGGACGGCTGCCTCAAGCTTGTAATGGACACACGCACGGGAGAAGGTAGGATGGGCATCACCGCAGTTGAGGCAACGAGCCTGGGGAGAAGTGCTCTCCGACTTAGACTGACCTTCGCCACCACACAAAGGACAGAGAGAGACAGTCCCGGAGCAGCGGAGGGCACCATGCCCAAACCGCCAGCACTTGTTGCAGAGCCGAGGAGAAGGAATGTACTCCTGGACAGAGCACCTGGCACCAGCAAGAATGACAGAGGGTGGAAGGGTCCTACCATCAAAGGTAATCTTCACAACCCGGAGGGGTTGACAGCGACTACCACGAGGGGGACGAGTAAACGTGTCCACCTGGAGAATAGAATGGCCCTGGGCAGCGAGGATATGGCGAATATCGTCGTGGCAGTCGCGCAGGTCCCGAACACCGGTTGCAACATGGGGCGGGAGCAAAATAGTGCCAACACTGGCATTCAACTGAGCGTTCTTCGAGACCCGAACGGGGGTCTCGCCAAGGCAGGATAAGGCAGCCAAGCGGGAAGCAGCATCCTGAGAAGGAGCAGCAACGACACGTGTACCGAGACGAGTGGGGTTGAAAGTAATGAAGGCATCCACGGAATCAATGAGATGTCGATGAAGGGAGAAATCGTCAGGAGGCGCAGAATCAAGAGGGAGGAGATCAAAATATTTGGCCCACGAAGCGGGACCAAACAAGGCTTGATAGGTAGCAGAACTGGAAGGAATCGAGCGAGGGCGGCCGTGGCGAGGACGGCGGTGAGAACCCCCAGAGAGGGGTTAAAAGGCGCAGTAGTTACAACTAGAGAAGGAGCCGCGCCAGGGGACGAGGTAGTCACCACTGGGGGCTTGGGGCTCGACCCAACCACAGAGGAGGGAGGGGAGCCAGGGGAAGGAGTCAGAGAGGCCAAAGGAGGAGCAAGGTCGGGGCCCAATGCAGCGGAGGCTACAGAGCCCGGTCTTCCAATACGGACCGACTCGGGGGCTTGGTCGCCCACCCCACGAGCCTGAGAAGGTAAGCCAGAAGGAGCCGAAGCAGGGGTTATCATCTTGACGAAATGAATTCACTCACGAATGTGCCCCCACACCCACCATGGAGCCACAATTAGAGGCAGGACACCCAACAAGAAGCTATCGCCGATCTTGTCGGGGCCTCCTAGGGGTGCGTCGTGAGTATACGCCCCACAAACGCCACCTTAAGAAACCGACAGTCCGTCAAGATCGGGTTCAGTGACGAAGTGGGGATTGACAATAAAAGGTTCCCCTCGCTCTCGACGTCGGGTACTGCAGTTCTACGGGTGCATGAGTATGCCTCCTCAAGCACCCGGGCGTCAAAATAGAAGAAGTCCATGGAAGAACCAGAACGAGCAAAAGGTCGGCAGGAAACGGCAAGCAGATAGGAGAAGAGGGGGGAGAAAAACGAAACAGAAGGAAAAGGAAATGCCCAGCAAAATCGGAGAGGACGGCAGCAGGAGCACAAGGCTAGAAAAGGACAGAGGACTGTCCCAAGGAGCATCACTCCGGCAGCCGCCCACTAAGCCCCCACACGGCGACAACGAGCTGAGCGGGGAGGGGGCTTTTTTGAGGAATTTCAGGTTCTTTTGGATAATAGTATGGCAACTTAATTTTGACTTTTGCTTAGTAAAATTTGCCATTGGTGCATGGGGAAAAGTGAATTGCCTCTATTACAGGTACTGTATTAAGAATGAGCTTTTAATGATTTTAGTACATGGACAAATTTAGAAGCCATTAAACAATTTAAGAAATTGTATGGTTGCACAATTTTTATTTTCTTGCATTTTCCTGCACCTGGAGTCATGGTGCTACCTTGGAAAAATAAGGTTTAGAGAAAACTTTAAACGCTGCAGAAAACAAGGGAGATGGTGAAAGGTCTACTCTCTGGTTTTGCTGGTAGATAGCCATCATGTAACAGGTTGAACTTTAGAAGTCACACTGTAAACTTTACCCATAGTGAACTGGAAAATGGTGCGAATGCCATCTCAAGTTTGCTCAACGAGTTTTAGCACCTACTGCCCCCCCCCCCCCCTACCAATTTAACCCTTTAGCCTTCTACCCTTTAACACCTCAAAAATTAGTCCGGAAAATGGTCAGGAAACTACAAGATAATGTCAAAATTCTAATTACCTATATATTTTTGCTGGTTTGGGAATGAATCCACATTTATAGCATTATGTATATAGGAAAGTTACGAACATCTTTTTGGAATGCATCCTGTTCATAAGCTGGGGACTACCTCTGTGCATAATGCATTTTTGTAATGGTTTTTATGCAAGATTGTTTGGTACAGTGGCTATGGAAAATGGGGACATTTACATAATTCTTTTTCTAAAATCAAAATATGCTTAAGCTGAATTAGACTGGTCACTGATATGACTAATAGTTAACTCACTCTGGGAAAGGTTATGTTCTTAAAAAACCTTTTGGCTCAACATCTCAAATGACTAAGAATAATTTGCAAAGGAACATATAAAGCCTCCCGAGCAGTCAAAATAACAGTGTACCACAATTGTAACTTACATAACCAAGACTAAGATTAAAAACGTAAGAGTTACTTACTGCAGCATTACATTCATCTACCAATTGGTTGAAGTCTTCAAATTTTCTTTGCAAACTTTCGTTTGCAGATTCAGCATTAAGTAACATTGTTTCCAGGTTCCGAAGTTTTGTCATTGCATCACTATATAGGGCGCGCAGACTACCAATCTCCTTTTTCATTATGATATTTTCTTTTTCGGTTTCCATTAAGCGGGAACGTACTTTTAATACTGTTGATTAAGAAAATAAGGAGTTACCATTTCATAAACATATCTAGCATCATTATTACACTTTAAAAGCAAGTATATGTTGGAAAATCCCTTACTTTTGTCTTGTGCATCAGATTTTAGTCTGTCTCTGCTATTTATTCTCTTCACCAAGCAAGCCTTGAGCTTGGTCATCATCTCTTCCCTCATTTCTGGGGTGACAGTAACAGCAGGCCACTCAGGAGCCAAGGTGTAGATAGGAGTCAGATCTATCTCCAGATTCTAAAATAAACCATCTTGTTTTAAACCAATTAGTTAACAATATCTGTGGTAATTACAAAACTATTGTTAATTCAAACACTGAATTTTCAAACTTAGTTTTTAAGTTTTATGAACAAAAAGTTTGCATTTTTTACATTACCCTGACGTTTTCACCCTCTGTCTCTAGTCTCCTGCGCACTTCTTTGAACAGTTGATTGGCACGCCTTCTCCCAGGAGGTAGTCCCAAGTCATGCCTCATAGGATGCGCTACTCTCTGTATCTGAACTGCTGATGCAAGCTCGGCAAATTTCATCACCGGCTGTAAAGTTTAATACTGCTAAAACTTACACATTTCGAAAAACTGCCTGTATGAATTTAAACCTATTTCCATTTACTAAGTACTAAGTGACGCACTCTTAAGTATTATATTCAAAGCAAAATTTATTGCCAATTAGCTATATATTCGAATAAGAACAATGCCTTACTTTGCAAGTGTCAAGATAAAGGTTAGACAATTCAGTTATTGTATTTGTATATACAAGTGCAAATGATGGGGGAAGGGGGACAGGTAAATTTGTTTTATATGCAATATATTATGCAAATACAGAAATAGGAAAATGTCAAAATATGCACACAATCAAATATTATAATTAGCCAGATTTATAAAATACTACCTGTAATGCAGTGACAAAAGTAAAGCTTTCTTATTTACTTATAAATCAGCAGAACTTTTGGGTAAAATAACATACTAACCAAAGAAAAACAAATAGTTTACAAAAAATGTCCATTCCTGAACAGTGTTGTTGATTATTGACTATCAATGTCCAATATGTTTCTTAGTTAAGCAGCAAAAGCAAACAAACAATACCACCAGGGTTAAAATACATACAAGGGTTTCATCGTAATCCTCAGCCTTGGGGTTCACGCACACTATCATATTCACTTTGCCTTCTCCATCAAAGTAATTCTTGAAGTAGTGTGTGAGTTTGGAGTCCCTATAGGGAACCTTTTTTGATCCTCCAGTCATCTGATTTTCCCGAAGAACTTCAATGCAAGCTCTCAGGTTCATGAGAGAGTTATTAATGTTACCTGAAAATTTAGTGTCAATTTATATTTTTATAGAAGATAGCTTTTTCAAACTAGTCGGTTCATGGCACAAAAAAATAAATGTTATTTCCAAAGGAGGAGCACTATTGTGAATGATAATATATCATTAACATTTCAGACTATTAATGATCTTAATTATTCAAATCATTGGAATAAAGATTTTTTCTTAATTAAACTAATAAAACATTGAAAAAATGTATAAAATATATTTGCGGCAACTCCTGCCCGACAGCTGGCTCAGGATGACCACCCCAGGGCGATTGCTCATGTACACATGAATCTTGACGTCATCGCAAGACTTCCAGGCTTCACCACGGCCAAAATCAAATACAATTCAATTTTTTCCCTATGATCATGGAATGCATCTTAACTATCTGAAGGAACAAAAATGAATTCATTCCTTGTGCACTATGGGGTTGTCAGCTATTAACAGGTGCACAGCTCAAGGTGCACATTTGTTAAAGTACCCCTGTAAGATTTACAATTCATATTCATACATGGGGTCACATCTGCTCCCTAAGACTTCCAGTAAATACACTTTTTTCCGAAGATGGTAAGTAATTATCAAAAGAAGGCACCAAACTATGTAGCACCATTAAATGTGTGGGATAATCAGAGGGAGCTAAATATCACCAAGGATGCCAATACGAGAACAGTAACGCATAAGGCGAACGATATCAAAAGTATCCGAGTCACCAAGAATTGTATCGAGGGACAAGCAACCGCAGGGAACGGTCAGAAAACAAGACGCTTGTCCTGGAAGTCAGGACATTCAACAAGGATATGCACGACCGTATGAGGGACAATGCAATTCGCACAATAAGCAGCAGGGCAGCGCTGCATTAAGTGACCATGACTTAAGCGAGTATGGCCAATACGCAACCTCGCCAAAGCCATTTCCCATCGCCGGTTACGGGGGTTGGAGGACGGCCACGAGGACAACTCTTAAGGGGGTGTGTGGTTGGCATCTGGGTCCAAAAATGCAAAAATGAAAACTCGTTCGATTTCAATCAAACTTTTTTGACAAGTTCTATATGAAAAGTGTTTCATCTGGTCCAAGTTTCAGCATCGTAGCATAAATAGGAAGGGAGAAAAAAATATTAAAGTAGTTGTGAAAATTATGCAAAAATGGTCAAAATCGATTATCAAAAGTGTCAACTGAAATCATAACTACGACTCTTTGCTATCACAATAGCATATATTAAACAAATATTATAATTAGTTTAATTGGAAAAAAATTATTAATTTTTTTTTTTTTTTTTTTCGGGCGATTTGCATCAAACTTACACACCTGACTGTACGTAAGCCTATCTGTAAGGATGCCAATTTTGGAGAAAATTGGTTGATGTCAACCTCAGCCACAGATTTTAGAACCTTAGACTTTATTCATTTCCGTTTTTTTTTTCAATTGACACAAACGTTTACAAAACTGATTCCTTTTTTATTCAATTTACATGAAACTTACACAGTATATGTGGAGGGCATGTCTACATTGGGGGGCTTTCACTTTTCTCTTAAGTTCATTTATTGATTTTATAATAGCAATAAACATGCCATATTTGCAAAAAAATTTTGGGGAACTTTGAACATTTGTATTAGGAAAACTAAAGATGTTTTGGAAATTCTAAAGCCCCAAATCCTTTATTATATGCTAATGTGTCAGAAAAGTGTCACAGAATAATTATATCTGAAACGTGTGTTCTGAAGTGTGGACTTGAAAATGTGTAAAAAAACGTCGAGAGAGAGAAAAAACTCCCTTTCTATTTACGCTGCAGTACTGAAACTTGGGACAATTTAAGCACTTTTCATATACAACTAGAAAATTAATATTGGTTGACATTGAACAACTTTCATCTATAATCCTCTGATGCCCCCTTAAGAGTATGCAGTTTGTTACCAGTAACAGAAGACCAATAAGCCTGCCAACGGGTAAGAATGGAAGAATGGATAACCGGGTAAAGTCTGAATAAGTAATACCTTTACGAGAGATGGGACAAGAGCGGACAGCTTCCCTGGCGGCAGCATCCGCACGCTCATTTAAAGACACCCATATTAACCCAGCAAACCTCAACCGACTTAAATTTACTGTGAATAAGAAACGGCCAATGCTGGATCTCTACAACCACTGGATGAACCGTATTAAAGGACCCGAGAGCAATGAGGAAACTGAGCCGCCAACAACAACTACAAAGAAGATTGACAATTAGAAAGCAGGAGACGAAGAGCAGAGAGAATAACAAAGTTCCGCTGTGAAGATGCCCGAGGTAAACGACAAGTGCAATCGGGAAAAAACAACAGTAGCCTACACCGTTCGCAGACTTAGACCCATCGGGGAAGATGGAAATGGAGTGGGAGCGAGAAGAAAAGTGCTCGAGGAAAAGGCGTTTTAGAACCATAGGAGAAGGGGGGTAAAAGCTTTAGTGATGTGGGTTAAGAATGTACAAAACTGTAGAGGGGGGGGGGGACTTTCCACGGGGGCAAAGAAGGAACAACACGAGGAGAAATTAGAAATACAAACTAAAAGAATCCTGTAAGCGAGATAACTAGACAGAAAGAGGGAGGTGGTGAAGCGGAACAGGAACCGCAGGAGGGGCAACAGTTAAAGTACGACAGAGGCGAGAGGAAGGATGTTGCAAAGACCGCACAAGATTGCGAAGACGGTAGCAATCACGGCAGTCCTGGAGATAGGAAGCCAGTGTCAACATACAAGCTGAGGAGGAGAGTTGAACGAAAGGCACCAAAACCGAGGCGCAACCCAGTATGGTGCAAAGCATCAAGACGGCGAAGAGTAGAAGCAGACGAGTAAGCAGGGCAACCATATCGAGTTTAGACACGACGAGAGAGGAAGAAAGCAAGGAGTGCGCGCCAATCCACTCCCCAAGAAGTATGGGACAATACTCGGAGGAGGATAAGGGCCTTAGAGCATTCAACACGGAGGTAAGAGATATGGGGAGACCAAGACAAACGAGTGTCAAAAATCAGCCCCAAAAGCTTAGCGGAATCCTTGTACACAATGGGGTGACAAAGCGACAAAAAAAGACGAAGAATGACACGCTTCCGAGTAAAAGTCATAGCACAAGTCTTAGATGTAGAGAACCTGAAGCCATGATTGGTGGCCCAAGACAACATGGCATCAATCGCAAGTTGAAGCCGGCGTTGAAGAAGAGGCGAATCATCACCCTGACAGCAAAGGGCAAGATCGTCAACATAGAGAGCAGAGAAGACGCCAGAAGGAAGAGAGGAAAGAAGACCATTGAGGGCAACCAGAAAAAGTAGTGCTCAGAACACTAACCTGGGGGCACACCTTCGTATTGCTGAAAAGAGGGAGAGAGCGGAATCAAGCCTCACCCGAAAGGAACGACTAGAGAGGAAGCTTTGGAGAAAGAGGGAGATGACCACGAAGGCCAAAAGAATGAAGTTGGGATAGAATATGATATCGCTAAGTGGTGTCTTAAGCCTTTTCCAGGTCAAAAAGGACGGCAACAACGGAGGTCTTTGCAGTAAAAGCAGTACGAATATAGATCTCCAAGTTCACCAGGACATCTGTTGTGCAGCGGCACTTGCGGAAACCAAATTGAGAAGGGGAGTGGTGGTGATGGTGTTCTAAGAACCACATCAGACGAACGTTAACCATACATTCAAAGAGTTTGCAGACAACTTGTGAGGGCAATAGGGCAAAAGTCCTTAGGGGATGTTCCCAGACCCTGGTTTGCGAACAGGGAGGACAACGGCATCGAGCCAGTCCTCGGACTGACGACGACTCCCAGATCCGATTATACAGACTCGATAAATACCGAGACATGCACGGAGGGAGATGGCGAAGCATCTCAATGAATGCCATCGGAGTCACCCGCCATAGAACCGCAGAGGGCCAGGGCAGACCGAAGTTCAGAGAGAAGGGATTGTTATAAGGAAGTCGAAGATGAGTGCAGAAATCTAAAGGCCGAGATTCAAGGTTCAGGTTTACGAAGAAGGAAAGATTGGGGAAGATGAAAACCAGAGCTAACAGAAGAAAAGTGGGAACCCAGTTCGGTAGTGACCTGCAACTGGTCCGCCACAAGAGTACCACGAGGTGAAGGACCGGCGAGACATTAACGAACTTACCCGCTATCTTGTGGATACGCTTCCAGATCTGCGGCAGAGGAGTTTCAGATGTAATGGAGGAGACAAGATGCCCAACAATCACGTTTAGCTGTACAGATGGCCCTACGGGCCACCGCACTCGCCTTCTGAAACAAAAGAATCGGCCGTCTGTCGGCGGCGGTCTCTTCCAGGCTGCACGCTTACAGCGGACAGCCCAAACAGTCTGTATTCCACCAGGGAATGCATTTCCGTAGTCCCCCAAGAGGAAGAGCGAGGAATAGAGCAGAGGGCAGCGTTGAAGACAGTGTCATGAAAGAGGAGGAGAGAGCGAGGGAGAGGCAGAAGGGTGAGGTCAGAGAGCAGCACTGAAGGTAAATAGGTTCCAGTCTGCCTTGGCAAACTGCCACCTAGGGAAGGAGAGGGGAGGGTGAAAAGAGAAAGGTAACAAGGATGGGAAAATATCACTGCCATGGCAGTGGCAACAAGAACCTGCTTCGTGTAATCTAAGTAGAGAGACGACGAGCAAAGAGAAAGATCAAGACAGGAAAGGGTGCAAGTCCGAGAGTTCAAAGCTCACCAAAATTCAGGAGAGACAGGGAAGGAGAGGATGAACGGCTCAAAAAGGCGACCCCCAGGTGTTTGTCTGAACATCACCCCAAAGGGAATGATAATTTAAATCACCTAGCAGGAGCACAGGCTCCGGCAAGCAGTCCAGTAGGTGTTTAAGATCGGGAAGAGAACAGAAGAGTTAGGAGCCTCAACAACAGCTGGGGAAGGTGGGGCGGAGGAAGAGAAAAGAATAGCCACGAAAGCTACCAGGACGAGCACCAAGCATCGAATCCTGGAGACAGACACAAAGGGGCGAAAACCGTGAAATCAGAAGTTGGAGCTCAAGGAAATTGGCATAATAACCACAAACGTTCCACTGAAGAATAGACATCAAGAAAAGAAAGGACAGCAACAGAACAACGAAGAAACAAAGGTGAAAAGGGAACACAGCACATTAAAGAAGCACAGGGTCAGGGTCAGCAAAGTCAGGGGGCATGGGTAAACTAAGTAAAGGAGGGAAGGGAGCTGGAGGACTGACCAGGGGTAGACGAGTAGGGCCCGGAGGAGGAAGAGGGGGGGGGGGGGATAACCTAGGGTCAAGGACAGGAGGGGCAGAAACCAGGTAGTGCACCTCAGCAAAGGCAGCAACCGAGAGGGAAGTGGGGCCAAAGAGACCTCCATAGCAGGAACGGGGCGTAACCACTGAAACGGGAGGGGACAGAGTGAGAGTCAGAGGTAGGGGGAGAGGAAGAAAGCGAAGCCTTTTTACCCGCCGGGGAGGAAGGAAGGAGCCAGGCTTACACTTCTGACTCGGAGAGACAGGCATCCCAGCAACAATGTACTGGGCAACATATTCTAGCGTCTCAACATGAGAAGCAGAACGAGAGCATACACGACGGCCATTGGGAGAGCGATGGACATCAGCCAGTACTGACAGGCGGTGTGGAGAGCCAATAGACGGAGAAGGATGGGAAGGAGGATCAGAGGAAGACGAGGAAGACGACACAGAAGACATGACAGAACGGGCAGAAAGAAGGGAAACCCCAGTCAGAGGACCAGGAGGGGAACCCTTCAGGACAGAACTCAAAGAACAGAGGAGGGGGCGGTGGGCGTGTCAGGGTCCAAGGCCTGGAAACGGTTTCGAGTCCGAGGAAGGTGGGAAGGACAAGGAGAGGAGAGGAAGAGCACAACACGCGAGCATAAGAGACGTTAGCATAAGGTGGGAGACGGCAAACTTGGCTCCTCGCCTCGGGAAAAGAGAAGCGCTCCCGGTGCTTCAAGTTTAGGACAGCTGCCTCAAGCTTGTAATGTATACATGCACGTGAAAAGGTAGGGTGGGCCTCACCGCAATTGAGGCAGCGAACCTGGGGAGAAGTGCACTCCAACTTAGAATGACTCGTTCTCACACCCAGGACAGAGAGAGAGAGTACTGGAGTAGCTGAGGACTCCATGCCCAAACCTCCAGCACATATTACAGAGCCGAGGAGAGGGAATGTACTCCTGGACAGAGCACCTGGCACCAGCAAGAATGACAGGGCGAAAGGGTCCTACCATCAAAGGTAATCTTCACAACCCGAAGGGGTTGATGGTGACGACCACAAGGGGGACGAGTAAACTTGTCAACCTGGAGGACAGAATGGTCCTGGGCTTCAAGGATATGCCGAATATCATCGTGGCAGTCCTGTAGATTCCGAACACCGGTGGCAACATGGTGCGGGAGGAGAATAGTGCCAACACTGGCATTCAACCAAGCATTCTTGGAGACCCGAACAGGGGGTCTTGATAAAGCAGGATAAGGAAGCCAAGTGGGAGGCTGCATCCTGAGGAGCAGCAGCAACGACACGTGTACCGAGACGGGTGGGATTGAAGGTAACAAGAGGCATCTACGGAATCGACAAGATGCCTATGGAGGGCCGGATACGCATCAGTACCGACCAAACAAGGCCGGATACGCATCAGTATGGGAAGGAATCGAGCGAGAGCTGCCGTGGAGCCAACGACGTTGAGAACCCCGAGAGGGGTTAAAAGGCGCAGTAGTCACAACAAGCAAGCCGTGCCAGGGGACGAGGTGGTCACCACTGGGGGCTTGTGGCTCGACCCAACCACAGAGGAGGGAGGGGAGTAGTCAGGAGGATCAAAGGAGGAGCTAGGTCGGGGCCCAATGCAGCGGGGCTACAGAGCCTGGTCTTCCAACACAGTCCGACTCGGGGGCTTGGTCGCCCACTTCACGAGCCGGAGGGGGTACAAGAGGAACATTTACAGACAGATGAGAAGTAAAACTTTCATTCACGAATGTGCCCCCACACCCACTATGGAGCCACAATTACAGGCAGGACACCCAACAAGAAGCTATCGCCGATCATGCTGGGGCCCCCTAGAGGTGCGTCTTTAGTATACGCCCCACAAACACCACCTTAAGAACCGTTAGTCCGTAGAGATCGGGTTCAGTGACGAAAGGAGGATTGACAATAAAAGGTTCCCCTCGCTCTTGACGTTGGGTACTACAGTTCTATGGGTGCAAGAGTATGACTTCTCAAACACCCGGCTGTCAAAACAAAAGGCCAAAAGAACGAACAAAACAGGCACAAGGTCAGCGGGAAATGACAATCAAAAAGGAGAAGAGGGGGAAGAAAAACTAAAAAGGAAAAGGTGTCCGGCAAAATTTGTGAGGACCGCAGGAGCATAAGGCCACAAAAGGACAGAGGACTGGCCCATGGAGCATCACACTCCGGCAGCCGCCCCCCCCCCCCCCTCACAGCATCAACGAGCCGGACAGGGAGGGGGTGGGAAAAAAAATTGTGGGCACCCCTCCTGGGTGTGTGAGGGCCTCAAGATTCAGTGACAGCATGGGTAGCACATGCTACAGCAGCCCACAGTACCACCATGCAGCATTTGCCCATAGCATCAATAATGATTACATAAATAACCGATAACTTTGCAATGATGATATCCTGCCTGTGGTAAAAGACTACATACAAAGTGCACAGCCCAGTGAAAAATATGTTCGTTTTGATATTCACAGCAAGAGGCACACATTCACGATTCGTGCATCTACTCATAAAATGGGAACTTTTTCATTTTGATATTTTTCTATTTTATATGATTTAGTTACTTGTATTCTGATAATAGCTCTTTTTGCTAGAGTTAGCAATATGCATAATATATTATAGTCATTTTGCAGTCAGGTGGTATTGCCCCACACTCGGCTGAAGCAATGTAGTGCTTTGATTTCATTACCACACCCAGAGTTCTTGTGGTTCATAATGGTGCATGAAAATGTATAGTTAAATACATATTGTACATAGTGCAATAACAGCAAAATCAGTTAATTTTATTGTTCCAAGCATATAATGCTGTGTGCATCTTAGCAACACTAATATATTTGAGCATTCTAATGTTCTACACATTTTATTGTATAACTAGCTCGATGCACACTGCTGAATATTACCGCCAAAAATAAACATTGGAATGAATCTTAACCTTCACAACTCCCGCTCCATGCCTGGCACGGGGCACTTGTTCCACGATGGCCCTTGAATCATGACACTGCAAGATTTAAGGGTTCACCACACAAAGTTACATACAATTTTCATCAAGAAATACATTTTAACCATTAGAAAAAAAATGGGGGGGGGGGTCTCGTGTGCACGGAGGTGGTGTCTGCTATAAAAGGGGTGCAGTGTTAAAAGAGCACTGTTTTAAGCAGACCTGGTAGCTACCACAATTCAATTTGAAGAGCAGAGGTGTTTCCAAGTAGTGTAGAAATACTGTACCATGTACAATAGCTGGGAAGTATGGCCCTAGAGCTCTCTCTCATCTGCTAGGCAAGCCACTGTAGGATGACTGCCTACTTTTAATATCAATAACTAAAGTGATCACCAAATCACTCACCAGAAGATGAAGAGACGAAACTAGTCAAAATGTAGTCGGCTCTTCATCTTCTGGCATGTGATTTGGTCATATCTTGAGCCACATTGTGACATCGTCTGCAGTAACTAAAGTCTCTTCCACAGTATTACATCTCCATAAACTTGCAAGTTTCCTATCTATAGGCATTATGCCCTAAATGCCATTTACCTGCTTCTTTAATCCTGTCACCAACTGCCTTTGTACGGATGTTACGCTCCGAGCCAGCCAAGTCCACCAATGAAAGCTGGGAGACTATGATGGAACTCTTATCTGTAACAACATCTTCCCCTTGTGCATCAAGTGGTGCCTAGAAAATGTAGATTGAAACAATTTATTCTGATAAAGAACATTTATCATTTGTTTTTAATAGAATGAAAAATTACATTGACCAGGATAAGATTTCTATCATATACATGGTAAGGTACAATAGAATATATTGTCTAATCTGTATCAACATGCACAATGGTGAAAGAAAATGATATATCCAAAAATATGAGTTAAGAATGGCATCAAATCCACATCCCTGGACTCCACAGGTACACGAGCAATATTATATGGCTTCAGTGTCTTCTCTGTACAACTTAGTTTCGATTAAGGGAGTGAAGTTTACACCTACAAAAGTGAACTAGTTAATATTAAAATTTACTAATGACCAGGAATGACTATGCTGATATTCTAGGACAAAAGCATTAGGACAAACCAAGCATACCTGAACAACCCTAATGGTGAATATGGAGTGCGACCGAGACGACTCGCAGTTCAAAGTGGTGTATGCAATCTTGCGCCTCTTCTCACCTTTGTACAGAATCTGAGACGGAGGAAAAGCTTACCATCTATTAAAATAAAGATTTCTTTACTTTCAATAATAATAATCAATTTGCCACATTTATCAAGGCTTTAATGTGAATTCTATGCACATTTGTACATGTAGTCATGTACAGTAGCGCATAGAATAATCCTAATAAAGCCGAGCACAATCACTAACCTCTAAAGCATCTTCAGGAGTCTTTACTTCCAATTCTGTGCAGGCATGGACATACATATTGTGTTGGGCATCTTCTCGAAGTATCTTTGTTTGCAATCCCCTGCGAAGAACATTTGACGCATCTTTAAATACCTAGCAAATAATGCAGCAAAATATTTACAACAAATCCTCCATTAAATAAAAAATTTTATTATAACAAATATTTGTAATATACATTTATTTCATGCAATACAGTTGAAATTTCTTATAGTTATAGTTAATGACCCATCATGTAAGAATGATGTCATCTGTCCAATTACGTAATACACATTCAAATCAACACCAATACATGACATGTTTACTGTACTATCTACTAAGAGACTCGTCATTTAAATTCCAACAAGAGGTCCTTTCACTTCAAAAAGCTGTTGAATATTTTCCAGACATTACAACACTGGCAAGGCCTCTTCTGATTCAATGTTAAGGCACCACTGTGGCCCTGAAAGGTGGCACTAGTTTGATCACGTTGGAAATGTAAAGGGGCTGTGGATCAGGCAAACAGCCTACCAACTACCATTCAAGTTCAAGCTTTTTCACAATGCCTCCTTTCAATAGTTATATTCAACTTCAGAGGCCCGAGACTGTTCAACATGCTACCACTACACAAATGGTAAAACTGGCCAACCCCCTCGCAGTGTTTAAGAGAAAACTTTTGAAACTCCTCCAAAGGATACCTAATCAACCCAGCTGTGATTCATACATCAGGCTGCGAGCAGCTGCATCCAACAGCCTGGTTGACCAGTCCAGCAACGAGGAGCCCTGGTCAAGGACCAGGTCACAAGGACGTTTAGCCACGAAATATCGCAAGGTAACCTCAAGGTAAGCTCATTCATACAGCTGACAATCACACAAGATGGCTCTACATTATTTTAAATTTATTTATATATACAAGAGTTTACATTCTGGTAAAACCATTAGCATGTGTAGCATTTCGAGCAAGTCCTTATTATTAATTTTTCCCAGGAATACGATCTGGCAAATCGTTTAACAACCAGGTACCCATTCACTGCTGGGTGAACAGACACTACAGTTGAGAATTGGCTCCTGGTCAATCCTCCCCAGCCAGGATATGAACCCAAGCCGAAGTGCTCGCAAAACGTCGGACGAGTGGTCATCTTTATTTCAGGGCTTAGCATCCCCGCGGTCCGGTCCTCGACCAGGCCTCCTTTTTGTTACACCCCCAGGAAGCAGCCCCTACCAGCTATAACTCCTAGATACCTATTTACTGCTAGGTAACGGGCATCAACGAAAAACTGCCCATTTGTTTCCGCCTCCACTGGGGATCAAACCCGGAACCTCAGGACTACAAATCCAAAGTGCTATCCACTCAGCTCTCAGTGCTTAACCACTGTGCCCCAGGGACCACAGGATTACCAGTGGTAATATGGGATTTAGGCACTAGACAGGAAATGCAGAAGTCAATCTTTAATATGGTCTCAGTCGTGCAATTTGCACAATATGCACACACATTCCATGTGATTTGCTGCAATTCAAAATTCACCCAACAGTTTCAGTACAGTATTGTTAAACATTTTTATGGGACATCTTGTGCTAAACTTATTTCCCAACAACTCATTGACACTTTGCCGTGTTATACTGGCCCTAGTAGAAGAAACTTGCCAAACTCGCTGTCAAATCTACCTTAAGATTTACAGAAAACAGCCTAGCTAGTTTGTAGTAATATCAAATTAACATGAATAATAATTCTCAAGCATATGTAGGCCAGAATTTTATGCATCTGAATCTACAGTACTGTATGTTACATTGTTCCCCATGCCAAATAAAAACAAAAGGTACAATTATACAAAATTTACCTTGAAGGTCCTGTTTCTGGAAGCTCTTCCAACAGATCATAAATATAGTTGTTGTATATTTCAATGTAGGCAACAAATATAGAAAATACATTGTCATCATCAATGTTTGCAATGCGGGAAGTATCAGGGATACGCTGCGAGTTATCTTGTGACCCAGTGGGATCTCTTCTGAAAAATTGCAACATATACTATTAAAATACCAATATTTTAAATAGTGATAAAACTATGTACCGTACAGTATTAAACCTTCATTTGCATCACCATGTTTTCTGCTTTATCCCTACCAAAGGTCAAAATGAAAGGCCAAAAAATTTGAAAATGGGTGTACATTTAATCAAGAAAAATCTACTTTTAAAAAATTGGCCCATTTTTCATTAGTAAATTAAATTAGTTCAAGAAACAAAACCAGGCCATATTCTAATGCCACAGATTACCATCCAAACCCCACACCCCCATATAACCAATTCCCCTAAACAGATTAGTTTAATCTCCTCAATTTGGATTTATTAAAAAAAAAAAAAAAAAAATAGATTTTAGAGGGGGGGGACGATGTGGAAATCCAGATTGTAGTTACATAATTTCTATTAGGCAGGGAAAGAAAAATGCCAGTCGTCGTCATGCTCATAACAGAATGAGGGTACCACCACTTGTGAAGTCATGAGGACCCATAGCCTCAGAAGCAAATACAAATAATGAATTCAGAGATGATTTGGAGTTTGTTTTTTTTGGTACTGTATTTGCTTCTACCACATTTACTCAATTGTAAACTCTCTATAACATGATTACAAACTGTTGCATTCACACGTACACGACAACTACAAAGGGGGGGGGGGCCAATTTCCCAACATCACAAGCCCAACTTCAAAATACATTTATATTTTATAAACAGAGCTTGTACTTTGACAAAATTATACAAAACTTTACTCTGTGGTATTTAAACCTAAAGCTGCACATGTTGTATAAATACGCCATGAGCAACATGTCCCATGGTGCGCATGGCATATATATACACCATAGGGTGCCAGGCACGATTCAAATGGCCAGCGGCTACACGGGGTTCACATTAGCTTCCTTAAGGCTCTTGTAAACAGACGCCATGTTTAAAAAAAAATTGAGCAATATTCTCTAGCGAGAGCCACAGTACTGTGGGAGCAACCAAGGCTGGCACACGCAGCATGAGCTAACAGCATTGCTGTTCAACTTGTGACCACAGTATCGCCTAAAAATGTCAAATTTGTAACTGCTATTATTTAGCAATGACAGTATTACAGATAACCCCTGACTGATAAAAATGACCAGGATTGTGATAATAGCAGGATTGTTGTAATTAGCACTGTGGGAGGAGTAATACTGAGGGACGGAGGGAGATACTGTAGCATCATTTACCGACTGTGTGGCCACCTGTTATTGTCTGCATTCACCATACCAGCTCAGTGGTTTTCTATCCTGAACACAAATGTAGATACTTATATATAATGTGTGTATTAGTGTAATAACAGCAAAAGGATTATGTTGGGAGGAGCCATTTGGGTGACTGAGGTGGCGTCGTCTACACGACGTGTTTAGCTATGTAGAGGGTGGCCGCTGTGTAGAGGGTGGCCACTGTGCTTTTTGGACACCCTACAAGCTTAGGTGTACAGTTACGGTGCATACAACATGTAGATACTTACATATAATGTGTCATAATGTGTGTACATAATGTAATAACACTGCAAACAGTATTGTTGGAGAAAATTTAGTGCATGTGACCTTGAATGAGGGAGGCAGCCACCAGCTGACCGTAGCGACGACTTAGTGCCTGAACTAACTATCAGCCTAGTTGTACAGTTGTGGTGAACATATATACTTACATTGTATATAACGTCTGTATGTAGTGAATAAAATCAAAACGGATAGTGGGAGGAGAAAGTGGGAGAGCGAGGCGTTGTTGAGGGAGTGGCAACGAGTGTGTGGCGGTCACTTCTCATTGCTTTTCGACTATACCAACTTAGTGGTTCGCTATGGTGAACAAAACATGCAGATACTTTTATATAACCTGTGTATATAGTGTAATATCAAAACTGTTTATTGTTTTATGAACATAATTGAATCACTAATATGCACACCATACTTTTAAGTATAGCGATGATTCACCCCTTTTATTGTATAAATCGATTACACTACACACCATTGAATAATATTACTGCAGGAAAAACAAAAAAAATCAGACATTAAAATAATTAGGTAATATCTTTGTGGCAACTCCCACCTGTCAGCCAATGACGACCGCTCTGACAATGCCCACATTTTGCCAGACTTCCTCGGCCTATTGCGGCCAAAATATGTCGCCTACGATTTCCCCCCCCCCCTCCCCGTGCTCGGGGAACAAATTAACACTTTTAGAAGACTAAATAATTTAAGATTTTTTTTTCTTGTGTACAGGGGTGTAAATCTCCTCAGGACCCCTTGGCAGCTTAAGGGTTAAATCTACTGTACTGTGAAGGCACACACATCAACCCGAGTTCTTTTTTTCACACAAGTGCTGTCTGTCCTCATTACTCTAGCATTTTCTTTTCCTTTGTTATATTATTATTGTATTTGAGAGCTGAAGCCATATTGCCCAAGAATTTTAAGCCATTCATCAGATAAGGGTAAGAGGAACTTCTTACCACAAATTCAAGACCATTAATTAAAAGGTTTTGTGACTGGAGCCAAGCAGCTGGCAGAGGAGAATGGCATCATGGGTATGGGGTTATCTGGTGATAATTCCAGGGTTTAGCATCACTGCAGCCTGGTCCTCGACCAGGCCTTTGTTACACACTTCCAGGGAGCAGCCCGTAGCAGCTGTAACTCCCAGGTACAGTACCTATTTACCGTTAAGGGAACATCAGCATCAGGGTGAAAGAAACCCTACCCCATTTGTTTCCGCCTCTGCCAGGGATCAAACCTGGAACCTCAGGACTATGAATCCTGAGCACTGTTCACTCAGCTGTCAGGCCCCCCTTTGATACAGATACATTGGCATTGATACTATTGTAGTACAGTTTGACAAGAAAAAGCAAAGGAAAATCATGGAACTTCTGAATAAAAGAACACTGGTGGTAAACGATTATCAAAAGGTGGCATGAAGCCAAGACACCACTTGTAGCAGCAGTGGTGGTACTGACAAAAATATTTCAACTTGATAATTTGGACCATTCTTTTTCACCAGAGGTTCACACAGTGTAGCCTGTGGCTGGCCGATGGTGGTGCACATTTATAATCGGCAGGCAAAAGTGTGGTTTGAACCACTGGCATGGAGGATGTCAAGGCAAGATCTACAAAGGCCAGTGGTTACTAAAAGTTTAATAGATGTTGCAACAAAGAACTGCCGAGTATAACCACATTTTGCTCCTAGTGCTACAAGAAAGTTGGTGAAAAATCAACTGTACAATAATTCAAATTATTAACTGCACAGTAACAGTATGTCAATGAGAAAATTTGAAGAGAAGCATTGGAGGTGAACTCTTAAACCACAGCCAGAATGCATGGGGGTAATGATTGAAACCCTGAGTGCTCAAGTTGAAGCCTCAGGATCCCTAAAGGATTTGGTTGAATCCCAGATTGTATTGCATTTGACCATGTCATGGTTGGTCTAAGGCATGTGCTTGGGATTACCCAGGGCATAGGTTCAAATCCTCTTCACGGTTCCTACTTATTTGTAAAAAATCTGTTGTGCATATTTGTTACTTATATGCACAATTATTCTTTATATGATATCTAACAAGTGTTCATTATAACCGACATACAGCAACAATAAAGTTTTGTAATTAACGCACTGTTGACACGTTATACTGTATTTGCAACCAACTACCGACAGGCTCCATATTTCCGATGTTCATAAAATATTTTTATACACAGTGGTACCCTCAACTTACAACTGCTCCTACTTACAAATTTTTTGAGTTGCAATCCCAATTTCGTCAAAATATGCAATGCCAGATAAAGCTATAGCAGGCCATTGCATTGACCTTTTGAATGACTGATGTCTCACTAGACAAGTGTTTAAATGTAGAGAAAAACCAAGTGTCTATAGACGTTCTTAAAAAGCAAGCAGTGAGCCACAACCAAGTCCTAGCGATATGCCTGCAAAATGTAGGAGGGAGTACCCCCAGAAAACTCATCACTGCCTATGTTATAATGGAAGGGGATGCCCCTTCCGAACTAACACCACCTTCCCCCACCTCACCATCTTCCAGATGCCAACAAGAGTCCTCAATAAAGGCAAAATATACATACTGTATTGTAGCTAGCACAAAAGTGATATTCGGTATAAAATGTACTTTTAAGTTAATATTTTTGGGGGTGTGGAATGGATTAATTAAATTTACATTATGTCTTATGGAAAAATTTGTTTTGAGTTACGAACCATCTCTGGGAACGGATTAAACTCAAGCGGAGGTACCACTGTACAAGAAAAAGGTTTGAGTGGCAACTGCAAAGGTTTAAAGAAAGCATGATTGTATATCTTTGATACTACCATTATGGGTGACATGCTCGTCATAAAATGGATATAGTCGAGAAATCCCAGTCTATGCCAATTATTACAGCATCAACAGCTCTATCCTAGGGTTCAGCAGCACAGGATAATTGCTAAAAAGTTGTGAACAAGGTATATCACTAAGTAGATATATTTGTTTGACCATTACACCTCACAAAATGCACAGTAGTAGTCATTGATTTGAGGGGGGGGGGGGGGTAATACTTCCTGGAAGCAAAAATGAATTTATCCAACTTTAATGCACTGCAGTTTACTGTGCATGGGGGACAAAAAAAAAAAAGGGATATTATACTCTTAAGTCCACTTTTCATGCTCTCAAACACCTATTTAGACACCAACATTAAACACTAGCTAAAATTAAGCCTATGAAATCAAGAATATTATGAGCAATTATACAAAAGGGTTACGTTTATGCATTGCATGCGTGTTTGAAAATTCCCAACAAGAATGAAATCAACCCAAAGATTAGCATAGATTATCCACACTAAATTGCATTAATCTGGTCTTATCCCATGTACAGTAGCCCCAAAATACACCTATGTACAGTACTTCCAAGTGCTTAGTTCTTCTGTAACCGAATCATCGTAATCCAAAGCTATGCAAATATGGTGCCTACAGTACATTGCAATTCTTCTCATCCTGATAAATTTATTTTAACAACCAACTGTTTTAGCAGAAAATTGATGGAAGTGTACGATCAGCACTAATTATGATCACTATTCACCGCTCATTTTTAGCCACAAATATTGTTATTAGCATGAAGTAATAAATGCTCTAGGCAACAATTTACTGGACCATACCTAGGTCTGCCAACAACCAGATCATACCTTGATTTGTAAGACCTGGTCATCATCTTGGTACTTTGAGTAGCATCCAACCTTCGTCGATCATTAGAAGCATCCGATTCACACTGGCCATCAAATCCATTCATACGATCTGGCTTAAAGATGCACCTCCTTGTTTGGTACTCTTGTATACTATTGAAGATGACATCCAGGGTTCTTCTTACAATTCCACCATCTTGTGGTACTCCCTGAAATTAGGACAAAAAATAGTTGTGCTAGATTAAATGCTGCTATCTACACTATAAATATTTCATCGCTAATTATTTTACCGACTACACCACTCGCCATCACCTACCCATTATCTACCACCTATGAAAAATTTAGTCGGCATTAATTCTTGTCTTTACTTATAAAATGATCCAAGAGCAGTAACATGAGCTCTCACTATCAAATTTTCATGTGCACTATCACAAAAAATAAAAATATTCAATTTTTTCTCTGGGTAATTGTGAATTCCTACTCAACTAGATTCTATAGATGCAAAGTGAGAGAATACTGTATACAGTATAATGAAGAAAGGATGAAAATATTGTAACACTTTCAATCAAGCACTGTACAGCTATTTCAAGCCTGCAGCAAATTAATGCTACACCCATTTCATTCCACTCCCTGTAGTCTGGCATTTAATTCCTGCACGAACAATAATTTCCCATACACGTCAGATATACAGTACTTTTCTATTTCACTGACAATCTGCTAGTATTATACCTTACATTCTTCTCACCAGCACATTTACATTTGAACTTTCCATCACTTGTGTCATTCAGAACCTCCATGTGTTCACTTCTGATTGCATCAAGCTAACATTCTCCCATACTAATTTTAACAAGAATGTTCCCATTGCCCCCCCCCCAACCCCAATCAGGAAATGTTTTACATTCTATCCTAACTTTTCATGCAAGATAAGAACATGTTATCACCACACAGCAGACCTGTTAGCCCATTATGCAGGTGCCTGTCTAGATCCAACTGCTCTACCCCACATATCTATCAAGACCTAATTTTAAAGCTAGTTTAACTATTTGACAATTATGTCAGGTAACCTATTATATTTGTCTCCCACCCTGTTACCAAACCTGCACTTTTCCACCTTAAAATAATTATGGGTTCTGATAATTTATAGTTCCAGGACCTCTACCATACATTTCTTTATGATAGTCCTTGTCCACGCGAGAACTTCACTCTTGTATCCCCTTGCCGTTGTAAAACCTCCCCACCCTCATTCTGTATTCACAAATTTTAAGTTTCATAAACTGTTCTTGCCACTTCCTCCAATTACAGTTCTTCATTCTATTACCAGTTTACATCCAAGAACTAATTTTTATTTACAAAACAATCTGGGGTGCCTGGCCTCACAATAAGTCATAACTGTCTTTGCCCATTTAACCACTTTGAGAGAAGGCACTTGCCTGCATTGTGTAAGTCTTGCCAGAGCCAGTGACACCATAAGCAAAGAGGAGGCCATTTTTTCCATTCAGAACATCTGCAACTAAGGGTTTGGCAATACTATCAAAAAGCTCTTTCTGTGTGGTGTTGGGCCCAAACACATGCTGGAACTTGTAATATTGTTCCTTCGCACTTCCATTACGAGAAGCAAAACATGATGCTGGTGGGCTAAGCTGGAAACAAATAAAGCATAGGAATTACAATATATTGTAGCTTAAATGCTACACACTTTAAATATAACCTCAAGGCAAAAAGCAATTTAGTAAAGATCAAAATATTTTCAGGTGCAAAGTTTGTACTGTACTTGGTGCAAAATTTAAGTCTTGCCCAAACAGGGAAATGTATAGAGGTGGGAGGGTAGACAGATGTGGTGTGGGGTGGTGGGTTAAACCACAAGAAATACTTAATGAGGATTTGGAGAACAATTAATAAGACCAAGACAAATTTATTGGGGTAAAGTGTAGGGATAATTGATGGGGCAGGCAACAATTTCCTCTAGTGAAGTGGAATGTACACGAGGAAATGGTTGCCCGAACTAGAGGGACGAGAAGGGATTGGAAAACCATGTTTTAATGAAAAGGCTTGGAGAAACAAGTTAAGTGAGAAGGTGGTGGAGGCCAAGACCGTCAGTAGTGTCAAAGCGTTATATGAGTGCTGGGAAGATGGGACATCACGAGCGTAGCTCTCATCCTGTAACTACACTTAGGTAATTACATATAAATAAAAATAAATAAAGACTGAAGGTAACCATTAATATTGGCATGAAGTTAATTTACAAATGTGATATTACAGATAAATATCATGACCTATATAAATATCACATATCATGCAAAAAGTAACCACATGAAAATAACAATACTGTAAAGTACTATACTCCTTAATTCTAAAATTAAGCCATCATTCAAAAAATATAATTTATATTAAATATGTAGAGATTAAAAAAGATTGTATTAGTGAATGAAAATTTTTAGACAAGAGGCAGGGAAAAAAAGATAAAAAAAATTATATCTAGTGGCAAGGTACTGCCACCATCAGAAGATTATTTTATACTCCTTTAGGCAATGATCACCTTATTTCCAGTTCATGATTAACTGCAACGTTATAGGACTTTAAATAAATAAAACAAATTTAGACATTTGATTTGCATCTTTGCTTAGTTTGCTGGTAAGCAGTATGCCACGCTTTGCAGGACTATACATTTTCAGGAGACCCTTAACAAGCCGCTAGCTTCCATCGAGGCCACTAGGAAGAATACTAAAGTGCTGCCATACCAGAATGTAAGCCATAAAATGAATTAAATGCAAAATGACCGAGCCATTTGATCAGAGTGGTATTTGGGAAATGCGCCAGAATGCCTAATGTGAGAAATTTGCTCAACAAACAAGTGTATGGATGAACACACCCCATACAAAAACTCAAATTTATGTTTGAACTCTTGTAAGGCAAGTGCTACTGCACTTCTTAAAGCAAGCAATACAGTGTACATCACATTCCAAGACCCTCATTAATAATTGGTATGCTGATTGAGGTGGGAATCAAAAAGACGTGCAAGCTATTTAATGCACTGTCTCATCCACAAAAAAAAATTCTGCTAAAATAACTTTCATTTGACATTGTTAATTATCATCCAAGTAGCAAAATCCATGTAAAAGTTCTTACCTATTGTGGTTTAGCTGTAATGGCCCAGAGAAGTTAAATGTTTGGTAGAAATGAGACAAGGTGTCAGAAATAACTTATTTTCATGGTTTCTCCATGCTCAATGTTGTACAGTATTTATGTTAATACTGTAGTGGTAATCATTATGTATAGCATTGGAAATATACACATGTACAAATGTACATTTATAAATACACACCTGTACATGCAATATACAAGCCTATATCTTATAATTACAAAGTTTACATTTTCCATGCAAAAATATACATGTATATTTAATAATAATAAAAAGACCAATGGTTCAACAGCATGGCTCCCCAGCATGTTCAGTCACTGGATGGTGATGCACAAGACACGGGCCTCATCTTTTTACTCAAGTCTTGGGAGGAAACTAAGGGACCTTTTCCAAATGTGGCAAATGATCAACAGGTCTGTGGAGTCTAACGAGATCTCACTAGAATAGGTTGGGCTTTGGAATAAAATGGGGCCACCTTAAAATCATTTCCAAGTGATTGGAACATTCGGACCAATCTCCCTCAAGCAATTTGAGAAGTGTAAGGATTAAAGTTTCCCAATATATGGCACTGGCTGTGAAGTGGCTCTTGCCAACTGGTAAAGAGAAAAAGTGACATGTTACTCTATTCTATCCACCAATCATTTTCTAATAAAAAAAAAAAAAAAACATTTAGAATGGTAAACCCTTTTAGCACACTCCCTCCCTAAAATGGCTTTATTACCAACTTTTCTGAAATTATCTTAGGTTGTACTTAATTTACCTATACAATGCTCCCATCAGTAAGCAACTGGGTTAGGCATTTTTTTGTCTTAGTAAATACTGTAGCAACACTTACCCTAACAGTACGTTTGTCTATGGCAGTGACACATTCTTCCAGATCAGGCATTTCAATTGGTCGAATGCGACAGAAGACTGCAACTGGGTCTTTCTCCACATTTCTTTCTGTTTTTGGCCTGGGCGTGGGCCGTGGTTTACGCGAGATAGGCGTCCTACTGAAAAAATAATAAACTTTGAATATTCTGCACATGTTTAAATTGCAAAACATTGAAGTTGCTCATCCTGAAACAGCCTTCTTACTGTAATATTTTAAATTGCAACAATTAAAAATGTATACATTTGTTAATTCACAATTCTGCCTCCTTCCCATTAATATGCATCAAGACAAGCTCATGCAAATCCAGCCTGTCACAAAGAAATAGCTACCCGAAAAAAAACTACGAAGCCAAAAACCTGAAAAAATTCCAGAAACTCTTTCGAATATACTACATGTTGAAACTAAACTTAAAACTACTAAAATCTAAAAGACTTCCTTTACTGCATTCTTACCCTTTATTTATTAATAGTACTTTTTATATTGACATTGAAGGTTATGGTTTGTGGAATTTGTTCTATTTGGTTATCACAGATTTAGACTTTAAAATGACATTCGTAAACCTAGAATTACGAGTAGTTTATTACTCATAATGGCATTATGAGTACAACTACTGTACAGTATATGGCTAGACACCAGTACCATGGAAATTAGTGCCAGAAGTCAACCAGTAAAATTTGGTAGTGTACAGTACCTGAATTGTACAGTACTACACAGTACACATTACACTTTCTACATAAATTTAAAACACCAACATGAATAAACACCATGCTTATCTGCATATAATAGAATCAAAGGGATGTCCTATGAAATATTGCCCACTAAGAAATTAATTAATATTAATAATCATGTATCGGTTCATAATGTTCCAGGCTTCCAAGAAATGACCCACATTTGGGTGGCCAGTACTGTATACCAACCGACTACCCAAATGTTTGGTTAGTGTACAGCCAACTATACCACCCACTTGGTACACTGCCCCACTATGCCAAGGTTGAACCTGCAGGTACTTAGTATGTTATGCAATAGAAACTGCATATGGTTGTAATTATGGTTTAGAATATAGATCATAATACACAAACATGTACCCAGTACTTGTGAAATTCCTTTACAAATAGACAATACGACTTCCTGGCAGAAAACCCGTACCCAGGTAGCCACACATTATGACTAAAAACTTTCAAAGGAAGAGAAGTCAAAACTAAACTTTGCTGAAGTAAAACTTCTTCCTTGTTCTTGCCAATATTTAGAGCAGTTTTTTCTACAAGGCGATAGGAATCGGGACAAAATTGTACATAAAAGCAAAACTTATCATAAGAGCAAGGGTGGATTAGAGGAGAGGGGAAACAATGTTCCTAAAAATCACACGTTTATTTTTGTTCACTTAAATCACATTAACATAGATGAAGAGAAAAATATACTGGAGGTATACGATATAATACAGCTAGACATGCCAGAGATTGTCAGACAAACCTAACAGTACAGGTACAGTAGTTTAAATGAGGTTGTATTCCCAAGGGGATACTCAATTTGGAGTATAGAAGATTTGGAGATTTGTAATAAGATAAATTTATTTGTAAATGGTAATGTCTTCTCAGACCTAATAACATAGGATAAGAAAAACCACACTTTTGTATGCGAAATTTATGTAAGTTGGCACAGTAGAACAAAGCAGTTGCCCCGATGGACTTTCACCTTGGGTTCCGAGAGAATGCACATACGAGCTCAGCACAACTTCAATCGATTTCGGTCATTTGTGTGTCCTCGAGTCTTGCCAGATACAGTACAGTACATAAAAAAGGCAAACAGTGCCAGTCTACAAAAAAAAAAAAAATGGTAGCAGGGAAGGTTCACTTAAATTATGAACCTGTATCGTTGACAAGCATAGTACTGTAGTCAAAACTGGAAAAATTATTAAAACCAGAGGTTTAACATCTGGAGAGAAATAACATGGTATGGTTTTCCATCAGGAAGGTCCTGTGCAACCAATCTACTTAGTTTCTATGAGAGAGCCACAGATTTTACAGGAAAGAGTTGGGTTGACTTTATCTGGACCTAAAAAAGGCTTTTGACAGTCCCATTTAAGTGGTTGTTCTGGAACCGACCATACTAGGAGTGACAGGCTTTTAACATGGCTGAAAAAATTTCAGACAAATAAGGGCAGTAATCAGGTGGAATACATCAGACCAAAGAATGTCACTACTGTAGTGTAGTACCATAGGGTTCAGTTCTTGCACCAGTAAAGTTCCTTGTCAACCTAATCAATCTAGTGGAAGGAATACATATATGAACACTTTTGCTGATGATGCCAAGATACTAGGGAAGATAAACTTAGATGATTGTCATGCCCATCAAGACGACCTGGACAAAAACAATTAACTTTAATAAATGTCATGTTATGGACTGTGGAATAGGAGAATTTTTAGGTTGTGTAGGACCTATTAAGTGAAAAAGTTAAAGAATTCTGATAAAGATCTAAAAATGGTTCTAGACAAAACTTGCCTGAGGACCATATAAAGAACTGTGCGAGTAGCCTATGCAATGCTTTCTAATTTCAGATTGCTTTAAAATACACCAATGGCAAAATATTAAATTCACAACCCTAGCGAGACCAAAGTTGGAATATGAAGCAATTGTATGGTGCCCATATCTCGAGCAGCACAACAAACTGGAAAACGTGCAATCCCATGTAACAAAAGGCTTCCAAAACCGAGACAAGATCTGTGAGGAGAGGTTAGATGCAAATATGCCAAAGCTAGAAGAAAACATAGCAATATGATCACTATGTACAAAACAAAGGAATTGACAAAATTGAATTCTTGAAACCAAGAATTTTCAAGAAAGAGGTCATTGATTTAAGCTTACTAAAAGCTGCCAATGAACATTAGAAAGTTCGCATCTGAACAGTGGTAACAGTTTTAATAAACTGTAGACCAAAACTGTCAGCAGTTTCATAGCCGACAGTTTTGGCCTACAGTTTTGAAATGTTATACACGAGTCATTGTTATTCATGCCTTAGGTTTTTCTAAAAGGAATTATTTTTAAATCTGATTTTAATACACAATTTCTAGGTACTTTACCTTACCTGAACCAACCACCTTGACAAACATGAATACTCCTTGACGCAACTATTGTCTTTCTGCAGGTCAGCATTCACTTTACTGCTCAAGTGGGCTGGGCACCATTCCTTACCTCTGTTTTATCTTTACATATCTTCCAAATACTGTATGTAGTCACAATGGCTTGGTGCACTTTTCAGACGATAACCTTCACCCTACCTGGTACATCCTTATTGTTGCTCCTCTGTCGACACTTTCTAGAATTCCTCTCACATTAGAAAATTCAACAGGTTTGCCAAGCTAGGTATTGTACGAGGTCATCCTTAGGAATAATGTGGGTCAATAGTGTTGTCTTATGTAAATTCATGTAAAAATTAGTCATTCCACAAATTATCAACAAGCCAAAATAGCACTGGTCCATTTGTTTAACATCACCTGGGGCTGATTGACAGTCTTGCTTCATGCAGGTCTGCATTCAATCTCAAACCCGCCCAGTGGTTGGGCAACATTTTTTCCGTCCCATCCCATATCCTTATCCCTTCCAAGTGATATATAGTTGTAATGGCTCGGCACTTTCTCCCAATGGTTCCCTTCCCTTCTGTTAGGGAACTTTATGGATACCTTTCCATTTATGGATACTGTACATGCATGTCATTTGGTCAGAAGTTAAAGTCACTGGGTCTGGCTAGTTACTAGGTAAGTACTGTAACTATTAGGACAGGTTCATTGGCTGCAGACATGCTTCCTGTCACTGACCACTTTACACCATATATACAGTATTTGAAAAAGTCAATTCTTACCCATTTCTAGGTTTGTAAATGCAGGCTAATCAGGAATAGCATTGAATTCAATATAGGTCAGTGTGTACTTCTATGGCAATGTCGACTCCAGCCATTTTAACAACTGTTACAAAAAGTAATTTTTGCCCCTCTCAATAATACTATACACAATTGTGTTTATTAAAAGCAAATACTACCAACAATTCTCCTAGTTTTAATAATTCAAAGTACTTTATAGTGCTTCATATGAACTTGGCCTCATTCACTCGGCACAACCAGGCATATAACCGACACCTGACAATGCACCCGAGCACCCAGATGATGGACATGCAACCCGAAGACACCACATTTGGGGGGGTTATGTAGCGTAGTGGTCTACATCACTGGTTCACAACTGAGGGTCCCATGTTTAATTCTGTCCCAGGGGCAGAATTCAAGAGTTTAGGACAACACTTTCTGTAGCCTGATTGTCTACACCAAGCAGTAAACCTTGGAGTTGGACAGTTGTTAGTTGTGTGCTGGTAAAGACCAGAGGCTGGCCTAGGGGATCTTCATACGGTAACACTACTAAAAGTGCAAGACGATTATGCTAGCACAGTAATTTGGGGGCTTAGTCACTACAACTTCAGCTTAGTTACAAAGAGTTACAACAGCTTAAAACATTACTAAAGCAAAACAAAAAACAATGACGTACCCGGGGCCTAACGACCTCTCACACCCTCAGTGTCACTGCTACACTAAACATTCAAGAAACATATTTAAAAAGCCAAAACCTAGTACTAGTCAATTACAGTCACTCAGCAGACCGACTGGCAATGGCAGTAGAGCCTTGTCAAGGTCATATTCACACCAATAAATACGAAGAGGTCACTTATCCTTATCCACTTTGTTTATTTTCGACAGCTTAATGTTTGCCAAGATCACACCTCCACCTCAAACCACAATTTTCCCCTTTAAACACAACTCTACACACTTCACCACACCCGCACCGCTCAAACAAACCACAGGGCGTTAAATATCAAGGCTGAAATACGCGGAGTAACTTACTCGGGCTTCATATTAAGGGAGAGTAGAGAGGAGGTGTGGCGGGTGTTTTCGAAAGTGGAGGGAGTCCGTGACTGGTGACTGGTGGCGGCCTCCAGCGGCCACCCCGCCACGTTTGAACGGTCCCGGGGCCCCTACTTGCTCATTTACCACCACTAACTAGGAATAAGCTTATTACTCTTTTGCTAAAGCTTGCTGGTAAGCTTTTCTGCACATAGTTTGATGGTTTCTGCAATCTGTCATCTAAAAATGATGTTACTTATACATGCAACTATACCGGTTGAACGTAATAAAGTTTGTCTGTTGCATCCTACAAAAATTAACTACTTTATTATTGTTAATTTTTTAGAAGCCACAAAAAATAGGACAAGAATTTTGAGGTAGAATTATAAAAAGTAAAAAGTTCATGTAAAAATGATATAACGAACACAGTTGCCTTTTCTAAACTTCGGTAGTACAGTCAGGTTCGTTCTGGACTCATAACCGTGAATTCCGGGTTCGAATCCCGGGCGGGACAGACGTAGTTGACTGCGTTTTCTATCACTTAATGTCTCTGTTCACCAAGCAGTCAGTAGTTACCTTGTTGTGGGGGTTGCATCTTAGAGAGGGTCAGTAATTCGACCTGGGGGGGGGGTACCTCGATATAAACCAAACATATATACATACACTGACTGCCTGTCCCCCGACACAACAAATTATTATTATTATTATTAATATTATATGTGATATTTTCAAAGGTAAGCATTCATTGTTGTACCGCCCACAAGATGGGTATAAGGTGCATAATAAATGAAAAACTAACAATAGTGCTATGTACAGAACAGATGAGATTGAAACTGACAAAAATTCACCAACGAACAATGATTAATCGGCCAAACACAATAAAAAGATTGCGAGAGCGACGTCTCATAATGAGCAAACGAAACGGTCAACCCAATTGACCCTTATATATCTTATCTGTAAACGCCTGTTTGACTTGACGTTAGACGCCATACCGTCCTCAGTCAGATAGCGAGGCGCCGGAGAGGACGGCACCTTGGTGATAAACCTCATTACTAAGTTGTACATGCATCCAACCGCAGTTTTAATAACATCAAATTTTAATGATATCTAAAAATGATACGGACCTCCACCAGAGTTTCCTCTGGCTTCATCCTGGCCAGGCATTGTTCACCATCTGTTACCAAATATATATATACTGTATGTATACAGTAAACCTACTGTATATACTTCTCAAACCTAGCCTAATCTCATAGAATATAATAGGTTTCTAACCCGAGAACAGTAATCAAAATCTCAAGGGGGTCAAATGCTCATGGGCTTAAAGTCTGTCGACCGAGAATTAGGGTCATTAAGGTCACCATTAGCTTACTAACCGACCAGCAAGCAAATTTTCTCTCGGGCAAGGTTAATTAGTTTATTAAGGGCCTCATTCCGAGCCTGTGGGTCAGTGTAAGTGACAGAAAGGTTAGGGTCAAATAATGGTTCAGGTACTAGGCAGGCTAAAGATCTTTAAGATAAACAATTTACTTATTTGGGAAGTTTAATTCAATAGCATACAATGTAAAATATTGTACAATAACTGTAGATATGAAAAGACATGGACCAAGTCATAGCGTATTTTCAGACCAAATATTTTATTGAACTTGATATATATTAACATCAACACTAACGCTAGGCTTGTGGGAGCTCTATAAGCATTTTAAGGGGGCTTCCTCTTTTGACGATATACCTCAGAGACCATAAATATCTCTTTGGGGTATACCCACATTCAGTTAGATTCCCGTTGTCAGGGACAGGAAGCCTGTATTTAGCTAATTTTTTGTTACATTAAACATTCAATTTCTTTCTTTATTATGCACCCCATACCCATCCCATGGGCGGTGGTGTAATGGATTACAGAGGCACATAATTGGTTCAGGAACTGAACCCTCTAGTTAGCTAAGCAAATAACAATCTTTTGACGCTAGTTACAAAATTATTAATGTTATATATACATGTACACATACTCATACTTACATGTACATATATATACGTATACATATATACATACACATACATATTTAATCACCCACACAAATACACACATCAATAATCTTTTGTGTCACAAGTGATTCAGCAAGAGGCTCACAAGTCACTATACAAGGCACTTTACATCTATGATCACATTGAACAGCCGGTGGTTTACTCTTAACAACCCAACTTGTCCTCCCATATAATGCACGACAGTTTTACGCTATATCAACCGCTACGCTACGTAAAAACTGACGTGGGTTCTTGAAATAATATTGCACACAAATTAAGACTTTTCGAAACTTGACCTGATCTGCCGGTATGGAAAGTATCCAATTAGTACATAGTGGTTTCCCCTGGATAAATTAAGTGCGTTGCCTACATAGATATACGAGGGTAACGGCGGGCGGGTGGGTGCGTTGGGTTTCAAAGCTCCATCGTTAGTGTCCGATTTTTCGGGTGATAAGAGCAAGATACTCGTGTTAAGTGGCAGACAAACGCATAGTTCTCAAGCTGCGTTAGAGCATATACTTATCATCGGAGGCGATATATAAGTGGTAAAAGGAGCCGTCAGTCTGATTTTCTAGCGTGGTCGGCGAGGGCTTCAACCAAATCATCCCCAGTATTTGCAGCTAAGTGTAATATTATACATAAAAAGTAGATTTTATGACAATAAACACGCTAGTAATGCAATAACCATCATAGAAAATTAAATAAGTATTATATATAAATATATATATATATATATATATATATATATATATATATATATATATATATATATATATATATATATATATATATATATATATATATATATATATATATATATATATATATATATATATATATATAGAATAATTCCATAAACAAAATTTGGGTGAGTAGCCCTCGTAGTCCTCTCGGCGAGTTAGTGTAAACACAGTGCAGCCCGTCCTCCAGCGTGACAGTCACATGGAACTCCTGGTTCAACCTTGACGCCAAGCGGACGTCTCTGGACACCTCCTCCGCCTGGGAGCCGCCCTATCACGTTCTGTTTTCGCGTTTTGGCTTTGCTACTGCCGTTTGGCATCCCTCTTCAACTGTCCGGTTGTACGACGCCTGGCGCACATATCGCCTTGGGTCACGGGATTGTTGATAGATTATTTTTTACGTGTTCTGGCTGGTTCTCCCGGCGGGGTGACGGGGTTCGGGGGCCGGCTTGGCCGAGAGGTGCCGGAGGTTGGTGGGCTCCTGGTGTGCCCTCAGCCGTGGTGGGCGGCCGGCTTCTGCTCTGCTTGAGGACACTGGATGACTTTGCGTTTTAGTTGGGGGCCAAGTTTTTGGTTTTGCTACCTGGTGTTCTCTGTGTGGGGCGAGGCCGGTGCTTGTCACCCTAAGGGACTTCTGGGGTTCCCCAATCATCTGCTTGTCTGCGTTTTTTCGCTGAAAGGCATATTAGTTTCCAGTGATTGGCGTCACTTGTTTCGTGATTCGGCTTGGCGTTTCACCTTGCCGGGCTTTGCGATTAACCCTTTACGGGTACGCCGGGACGCATTCGATCCCACGATCGTCGTCGCCCCTAAATCAACAACACAGTCACGTGGAGGCGTATCAGGGCAAACTTCGCATATACATAAAGTGAGTAAATTACTTTAGTTGCTGTTTACTTTTGTTGTTAACTGAATTAGTAAACATGGCAGGAGGGTATGACGTGTGAGAGGAAAATTACTTCCAGGCAGCCGTCAATTGAATGTAATCTGTGCCATCAGAAATACCACAGCGCATATGCCAAAACATCTCTGATAGATTAATCGAGGCGTACAACAATGAGCCAGCCGAAGGCAAACACCTTTTTCATTTTCACTGCATACCCTGCAGTAAGCCTAGCAAGGGTCTAAATGACCTAGGCACCACTAACAATGACACAGTTGAGAGTAACACTTGTGACATGATTAGAGAACTACAAGAGGAGCAGAAAGTTTTGATGAAACAGTCTATGGACTTTCAACAATCGTTAACTAACGTGTAGGCATGATTCCAGAGGTAAACCAGGTGAACCTGGGAGGAAATCCCTCACTCGGGGGAAAAGACCTTGAATGCAGGCAGAACCGAGATGAACCAGGGCGGAACTCATACTCTAAAGGGAAAACACTGAATACAGACAGAGTTGAAGATCTGGCTGGAGCGGCGGAAACCTTGGATAGAAAAAAACGAACAATCTCATTATAAGGAACCTGGCAAAAGTTGAGGGTAAAAATATCCAGGAAATCGTTGAGGAAATGATAGTGAAACTAATAGGTAGCGAGAAAGATCTTAGTCTATCCAATGTGGAAAGGTTAGGTAAGCCCGAAGCAAGTATAGTACACATGACCCCTGTAAACTTTGAGCACAGAAGGAAGCTACTACCCAGCACGCATAACCTAAAAGGTATTGAAGGGTATAACCATGTCTAAACCTCCCCAGATCACACAGTTGAACAGCAAAAAAAAACAAAAAAAAACAACAAAAAAAAACAACAGAGTTCTAAGAGGAAAGTTTAAGAAGTTAAGGAGCCTAGATGCAAACAAAGATTCAAAGCTAGTGATCAGGAGAAGACGAGTGACTAAAATAGTAGATGGAGGAGGAGACGTAGTCCTAGTCCTCCAAGCAGCCAGGCAGAACTTTTTATTTTTTTTTATTTATTCAAGAGTTCTTACATTCTTGTACAGCCACTAGCATGCATACCGTTTCGTGCAAGTCCTTAATCCTAATATACTGCAGAATACGACCCGCTAAATCGTTTAACAACCAGATACCCATTTTATTGTTGGGTAAAGAGAGGAACTAACCCAATATATCTCAGAAGACGACCAGGCTCAAAACCAGAGTGACAACGAACGGAATAATATAAATTGTCATCCACACTTCCGTGGAAATAAACATTCCATTCATCTGAACTGTATGGGTCTCGAAACGTGGACCCCACGCGTGTGAAGTGCGGTCGACTATTCATAGCAGAGTTGATAGAGCTACAGCCTCACATGCGTGGAATCCTCGGTCCGAGACCCTTGCAGACCAAGTCAATGGAACGGAATAATAATGTACAGAACCAAGGAGCTTTCTCTCATCCCAATTGGAACAACGAAATAAATTTAAAGTGCTTCCACACTAATGC